GTTTCATATCGACCACACCGATGGAGGGGGGCACTGCAAGTCAGAAAAAATACTTATCTCTTGCTGTTTCCTGCATCTGTGCCTTTGCCTTGGGTTTCTGCGGCCTCCACCTCCGGGTCAGGTACTCTGAAAGAAAAACAAAAAGTGTATATTAGTTTCATATCGACCACACCGATGGAGGGGGGCACTGCAAGTCAGAAAAAATACTTATCTCTTGCTGTTTCCTGCATCTGTGCCTTTGCCTTGGGTTTCTGCGGCCTCCACCTCCGGGTCAGGTACTCTGAAAGAAAAACAAAAAGTGTATATTAGTTTCATATCGACCACACCGATGGAGGGGGGCACTGCAAGTCAGAAAAAATACTTATCTCTTGCTGTTTCCTGCATCTGTGCCTTTGCCTTGGGTTTCTGCGGCCTCCACCTCCGGGTCAGGTACTCTGAAAGAAAAACAAAAAGTGTATATTAGTTTCATATCGACCACACCGATGGAGGGGGGCACTGCAAGTCAGAAAAAATACTTATCTCTTGCTGTTTCCTGCATCTGTGCCTTTGCCTTGGGTTTCTGCGGCCTCCACCTCCGGGTCAGGTACTCTGAAAGAAAAACAAAAAGTGTATATTAGTTTCATATCGACCACACCGATGGAGGGGGGCACTGCAAGTCAGAAAAAATACTTATCTCTTGCTGTTTCCTGCATCTGTGCCTTTGCCTTGGGTTTCTGCGGCCTCCACCTCCGGGTCAGGTACTCTGAAAGAAAAACAAAAAGTGTATATTAGTTTCATATCGGCCACACCGATGGAAGGGGGCACTGCAAGTCAGAAAAAATACTTATCTCTTGCTGTTTCCTGCATCTGTGCCTTTGCCTTGGGTTTCTGCGGCCTCCACCTCCGGGTCAGGTACTCTGAAAGAAAAACAAAAAGTGTATATTAGTTTCATATCGGCCACACCGATGGAGGGGGGCACTGCAAGTCAGAAAAAATACTTATCTCTTGCTGTTTCCTGCATCTGTGCCTTTGCCTTGGGTTTCTGCGGCCTCCACCTCCGGGTCAGGTACTCTGAAAGAAAAACAAAAAGTGTATATTAGTTTCATATCGACCACACCGATGGAGGGGGGCACTGCAAGTCAGAAAAAATACTTATCTCTTGCTGTTTCCTGCATCTGTGCCTTTGCCTTGGGTTTCTGCGGCCTCCACCTCCGGGTCAGGTACTCTGAAAGGAAAACAAAAAGTGTATATTAGTTTCATATCGACCACACCGATGGAGGGGGCACTGCAAGTCAGAAAAAATACTTATCTCTTGCTGTTTCCTGCATCTGTGCCTTTGCCTTGGGTTTCTGCGGCCTCCACCTCCGGGTCAGGTACTCTGAAAGAAAAACAAAAAGTGTATATTAGTTTCATATCGACCACACCGATGGAGGGGGGCACTGCAAGTCAGAAAAAATACTTATCTCTTGCTGTTTCCTGCATCTGTGCCTTTGCCTTGGGTTTCTGCGGCCTCCACCTCCGGGTCAGGTACTCTGAAAGAAAAACAAAAAGTGTATATTAGTTTCATATCGACCACACCGATGGAGGGGGGCACTGCAAGTCAGAAAAAATACTTATCTCTTGCTGTTTCCTGCATCTGTGCCTTTGCCTTGGGTTTCTGCGGCCTCCACCTCCGGGTCAGGTACTCTGAAAGAAAAACAAAAAGTGTATATTAGTTTCATATCGACCACACCGATGGAGGGGGGCACTGCAAGTCAGAAAAAATACTTATCTCTTGCTGTTTCCTGCATCTGTGCCTTTGCCTTGGGTTTCTGCGGCCTCCACCTCCGGGTCAGGTACTCTGAAAGGAAAACAAAAACTGTATATTAGTTTCATATCGACCACACCGATGGAGGGGGGCACTGCAAGTCAGAAAAAATACTTATCTCTTGCTGTTTCCTGCATCTGTGCCTTTGCCTTGGGTTTCTGCGGCCTCCACCTCCGGGTCAGGTACTCTGAAAGAAAAACAAAAAGTGTATATTAGTTTCATATCGACCACACCGATGGAGGGGGGCACTGCAAGTCAGAAAAAATACTTATCTCTTGCTGTTTCCTGCATCTGTGCCTTTGCCTTGGGTTTCTGCGGCCTCCACCTCCGGGTCAGGTACTCTGAAAGGAAAACAAAAAGTGTATATTAGTTTCATATCGACCACACCGATGGAAGGGGGCACTGCAAGTCAGAAAAAATACTTATCTCTTGCTGTTTCCTGCATCTGTGCCTTTGCCTTAGGTTTCTGCGGCCTCCACCTCCGGGTCAGGTACTCTGAAAGAAAAACAAAAAGTGTATATTAGTTTCATATCGACCACACCGATGGAGGGGGGGCACTGCAAGTCAGAAAAAATACTTATCTCTTGCTGTTTCCTGCATCTGTGCCTTTGCCTTGGGTTTCTGCGGCCTCCACCTCCGGGTCAGGTACTCTGAAAGAAAAACAAAAAGTGTATATTAGTTTCATATCGACCACACCGATGGAGGGGGGCACTGCAAGTCAGAAAAAATACTTATCTCTTGCTGTTTCCTGCATCTGTGCCTTTGCCTTGGGTTTCCGCGGCCTCCACCTCCGGGTCAGGTACTCTGAAAGAAAAACAAAAAGTGTATATTAGTTTCATATCGACCACACCGATGGAGGGGGCACTGCAAGTCAGAAAAAATACTTATCTCTTGCTGTTTCCTGCATCTGTGCCTTTGCCTTGGGTTCCGCGGCCTCCACCTCCGGGTCAGGTACTCTGAAAGGAAAACAAAAAGTGTATATTAGTTTCATATCGACCACACCGATGGAGGGGGGCACTGCAAGTCAGAAAAAATACTTATCTCTTGCTGTTTCCTGCATCTGTGCCTTTGCCTTGGGTTCCGGGGCCTCCACCTCCGGGTCAGGTACTCTGAAAGGAAAACAAATATAGTGGCCCTATTGCTTATATGGGTAGTATCTTAGAAATAGACCAACCCATAAAAACTAAATATTGTCCAATGAAATTGAAGTCAAGGTCAGATGAAACCTGTCAGTCATACATGTATGCCTTACAATCATTTCAAATACCAAATATAGTTGACCTTTTGCTTATAGTATCTGAGATATGGACTTGACCACATAACTTTAACCTTGATCATGGAATAAGGTCGAGGTCAGGGAAACCTTACCCAACAGACATGTAGACTTTGCGAGGAACCCATATACCAAATAAGTTATCCAATTACTCATAATAAGCGAGTATTTCACTTAACAAAAAAACTAATTTTCTTTCAAGCAGTCACTGAACCATGAAAATGAGGTCAAGGACAATGGACATATGACAGAAGGAAACTTTGTAACATAAAGTATCTGCACACAAAGTCTGAAGCATCCAGGTCTTCTACCTTCTGAAATATAAAGCTTTAAACAAATAGTTTACACCATTGCCGCCACCACTGGATGTATAATACCTATGTCTCACAAAAATAGCATATTAATAATTTGGTGCATCCAAAGCACTTTTTATGTATCTGACATCAGGAATGCTCAAATTCAATTATTTGAAAAATGGCCATGTATAAATACTTGATTTATATGAGTAGGGTGCTTACATTTTTTCAGAAACTATCTTAGTTCAGCTTTGCCTGTTTGAAATGGAACCTAAAATAATAGACAAATATAACAACAAATTATTTTGAATCTATGTGTATTGAACTTAATTGTGACGCCTCTGTCTTTAAAAGTCACCCAAAGACATTTTTTAACAGAATGCCGATGGTTATCTCAATGATAGAATAAATTATAAATACAAGCTTATTTGAAAGTAAAGTCTTCATTTATAGCTAAATGTTTATGAAATCAATTTGTTTATTTAGATCAAAAGGTGCCAATTTTGCTTATCCGATTAATAACTCTCATTTTTGTTTGCATATTCCTTGAGGTGTTTTTCATAAGAAGTTTTGTATAAGGTCGATAGAATTGTCTTATACTACCATAGCTAAAAAAAAACAAATTTGGAGGGTGAAAGTACTGAGAGTTTCTACAGTCCCTCAAGGGAAGAACTCAAGAAGATTTTGACAAGAAATGCAGCTAGTCACATAATAGTAAGTGACAAAAAAAAATGTGAATTAAGGTTATATTTTTCAAAATATCACACATTAAAAACAAAATTTTTTTGTAAAAAATTATTATGCTTAAATAATTGTAAACAAAACAAGCTGTCAAATTGGCTCCACTCGTTTTCGAGTCACCAAACTAATCTTGACTTTCATACTGTGTAACACTTAAAACTTGATATTTATACATAACATTACTAGACCATTATTTTATTGATAAAGAAAGAATAAAACCTACCTTACATAAGTACTTTCAAAACCCCCCAAAAAACCTGCAAAGTTTCTACTTGACGATTGCGGGAAAAGAAAAGTTAACTCTTACATGTACCGGAAGTGTGATTTCGGCGTGACTTTTTACCCCAATATACCCCAACATACCCCAATATACCTAAATAAAAAAAACAGTTTAAACATAATTTGGAAGTTTAAAAAAAAAGTCGCACCCGTATGATTACCCTAGCTATGTCCCAGACAAAAACCATGAAAACTTTAATTATAACAAGTGGAAATTTTTAACTATAGATAATCTAACCAAAGTCATATCAAATGAGTTTTATCCATTTTGAAATAATATATGTTTTATAATTTCTTGTCACACGGATGTGTTCAGTGTATTATACAGTATATACATGTACTCTCTTTCGGTAGTAGCTAAGGGTGTTAAAAATCACATATACCTTTTCTTGCTCTCTCTTTCTTTTACCACTGGACGTTAAGCAACCAACAATCAATCAATCAATCAATCTCTCCTTTTACCATTGTACCATTATTTTATTTAATAAACATTTATAAATAAATTAACAAGGTAAATTATTTCTAAAATAAACGCATATATATTTTTGATGTGGTGACCCTGCAAATAGGGTTAATATCCAATAGAAGAAGATTAAAAGCTTATACATGCCTAGGTTGGGAACAAACACCCTATATATGGTGATAATACCTGTATAGAGTGATTATCCTTATATAGAGGGACATATTTGTTTAGAATGGATTAAAAGCAGGAAGATTTTATTTTCTAGTATTATTGGGTAAAATCTAAGGTATCAATTATTGCACTTTACTAAAAATTGTGACGCCCATGAGTTTTCTGCTCAAGTGACAGAACTTGCAATCTATTGTGTACCATCTGAACACCTGATCAACAACAATAGGGACAGTTGACCTTTTAGTTTTATTTTAAATCTAACAATAGAAATCTGTTCATTGAGGCATAACTGAGTGGAACTGGAATTTACCTGATCATGGTCACAGTGAGCGAATTTCAATTATTCCTTAACTCTATATGGTCATAATAATGAATGGGAAAAATTGACATTAATAATTAATAATGATTATGGACTAAGTTTGAAAATAGATCAAAATAATACAGTGACACAAAACTCCCATTGAAAAGAAAATAAGTTTGAGTTTCCCTCCTCATGGAAATATTAAAAGCATTCCAAACAACATTATCAATTAACTTATTAAATTACATTAATTATTTAAATAAAAAAATAATAAAAAAAAATAAGAATATGCAGTAATTGATAACCAAATGAGACAACACAAATGTCATCATAAGCCCATTCTGTAATTGAGTAAGCTTGGGATAGGCATCATGTACAAAAAGTGACAGTGTTAAACATGCTTGTGAATGCTCAACCCTCCCCTAACATGGAGCAGTGGTGTAACAGCACAACATATGAACAAAATATATAAATCAGTTGAAAAAGGATTGACTCAACAGATCGACACATTTTAACAACAACAACAAAAAAAAAAAAAACTAACAAAAGATTATAGAACCGAGCCATTAATCACCACATACAAAAAAATATGTAATGATTTGGATCAAGAAATAGTGGCATACTTCTTTTTTTTTTTGGGTGATGATGGAAGATGAGGTTATAACCCGTCTTTTTTAATTTTATGATTGTTGTACTCTCTTTATTGTGATAAACACCAGTAAGATTTCTTGTTGTTTATCTGATACATTGTAAAGAAATAAAAAAAAATAATCATTTTAATAATTTGATAACAAAAAGGCAACAATATATAATATAGATCAATATCAACAGTTGAAATGTCAAATACAAAAGGTACTATTTAATGATTATTAAAAGTACATGCACACATGCAATATATACTTTTAAATCACAATTAACATGAACTTGTATAAACAAAATAAAGTTTTAGACTTCTATGTCATTTGGTCTCTGGTAGGGAGTTGTCTCATTGGCAATTATACCACATCTTATTTTTATAAGTATTACTAACATGAATTTGAAGCTGTTGCTTCTTATTGTCATATACCTGTATATGTATGAAATATTGTCCACTGGACATAAAGCATATACTCAATCAATCAATGACAATCAGTTAATAGATGGTGTTAAAATTAGAAATTAAAGTTTATTAGAAAATAACTTGTACAAACACTTCCTGAAAATGGTCAAAGATGTTAGATGCTTTTCCTATATTACATATTGGCATGGCTAGGAATGTGGTTGTTACTTGGTCAGTGAAGTAGCGAAACAGAATGGCATGAGACTTGTCACAGTTGTGGTTGTTGCTCTCATCAATGGCTATGGAAAACAGTTTAGACTGCAGGTCTCAGACAACCTCTTGATGAAGAGTAGGTGCAAGTGACTTCTTGATGATTTGTGTAGTCTTTGTACGGCTGCATGCAAACTTTGTAGCTATCTTGCTGTCTGTAAACAAGGCTTTACACAGCTTTGTGAAGCAGTCTGCAAGTAGAAAGGAGATGTTGTGCTGTGCTATGAAGTTGGACCACATGACCTCAGCTTTGATAATACCTGAAAAATTAAAAAAAATTAAAAAAAATAAATCTACAGCGTTTTATGAATACATTTTAGCCTTCTAATAAACAACCATTGGTTAACAATCAAGTCATTAATGAAGGCCGTGTTAGGAATTTTACCTTTATGACTTAATCAGATTAACTAAGAAAACAATGCAATAAGTTGTATCAACACGTATAATTTAATTATCATGCAATTAAGAATTCAATAGTGGTTTACTAACAGATTAAATAATTAAAATACTGTAAATTCAGAAATTATTGCGTGCATTTATTATTGCGATTTTGTCATTTTGGACTAAAATGCGATTTTATTTTTTGCAATATTGAGAAAAATCCTGTTTAATTCATATAAAAATTTCAAAATGCGAGTTTAAACTATTGCGATTATAACCCTGTCGCATTTTTCGCAATAATAAAAACATTGCAATAATTTCTGAATTTACAGTATTTACTCAATTTTAGATGATTATTAAATGATCATAATCAAAATATTGTACATATATTATCACTTTAAATATGACTAAAGATATTATTTATCAACAGTTAATAATTGACATTTCACAAATTAAACTGATGAAAACTTGTAAATGTTTACATTATAACAAATAAAATCATATCATTAGAATCAAGACCAAAAGACAATTTGTCAACGTATATTTGTTCCGCTTAACAGAAGTTCCACTGGAAACTTTGTTATAAACAATGTCATAATATCTGTTCCTGTTGGAACAAATGTTCTAGACCATTTATTCCGTTAGGAACATTTACTGTAATATTTATTCCAGTGGAAATAATATTCTAGAATATTGTTTCCATTTGGAATTTATATTATGAAGGAACTTCTATTCCTCGACAAATTAACTATTTATATTTAATTTATTAAAAGAGAAAAAAGACTAAAACAGTTGTGCCATAGTTCTATAAAAATAGTTAATGATATATTCAAAATTTTACCTTCATCATTTGGTCGAACGAAGAAGTTAGTGACAGGCTTGCAATTGGTGGTGTTCTGTGTACTACTAGCATAATTAATTCATGCAAAGTTATCAAATTTTTCACAATTTTAGCATTTGTGCTAATTTTCAGACAGTTTTTGTCTAAAATGGAAGTGGCCGCACTTGTGTTCAGTCTTAATATTTAAATGTTGTATTTGATGATTAAACATATTAAACATATATAAAGGTGGAGACTGAACACGAATGCGGCCACTTACATTTTAGACAAAAACTGTCTGAAAAGTGACGTTTTATGGCATATCTGACAGATTTTTCATATCTAAGCTTGAATTTGAGTGTCTTTAATGACCAAATCAGTTTAAATCGTTTACTTAAACTAACTGAAACGACTGAAGTAGACACTCATGTGTTTAAAAAATGTCAAACATCTTTCATCAAATGTACTTCAAATTTTAGGCAAAAATTAGTCCTTACCGAACCTTCTCCTTTCTTGAAAAATCCTCAAAATTATAATATTTCTTAAATCTAGACAAAATAGTACCCACAAATATCAATTAAACTGCAGTACATGAGATATCTACAATAGTTTAGATCACTAAAATTTGATAATTTAGATTTGTTCTTAACAATGGAGCAATAAGTACTTTCTATTCACTATTTTTATCATTTTCACTGAGCCTATGGGCCAAGTGAGTTATAAATATTACTTTTGTTATCAGTCTTCTTCTGTTTTAAAGTTTTGAAAGATCTTCTCCTTTGAAACGACTAAACCAATTTCAAACAAAATTGGGATGAATAATCATTAAGGACTAACTTATATAAAGTTTGTGTTTTGTATTCTGGCGTCATTCAACAAACATTGGTGATATGGCTACAAAAAGAAAATGCTGATAAATTGCATTAATTGTCCTATATCTTGAAAACAGTTTTATTAATTTATATTGTAATCGACCATGTATAATCCCTTTTGGTACATAATCTGCACACCTTTGTTTGCCACAGGAATTCAGGAAAAAACTTTTTGTCACTTGTTGAAAACATGTAGTAAAACTCTGTATTTTCAAGTCATGTGTGATTGTTTGCAGTAGTTACATTTGTTCCTGTTTTTCATGATCAAGTAGAAGTTGATATAACATAAGTGTTAAAATAAGCCAAAATTGTAAAAAAAAGAACAACTGGAAAAGTTGTCTTTGTCATTAACGGAGATAGGAAAAGAATTTGTAAATCACAAACAAATAAGTTGAGAGTGTGATGAAATGCCATACTTAATAGATATTAATTTGACCTGTTGATACTATTTGTAATGCTTTTTTGTTATTTAATTTTTACTTATTCAGGGTTATATCTCGTCTATATACCAGCTTTGATAAGTGTTTGGTATGACTATAAATTTTCACTCCTTCGTACTTTGAACAACAAAATTATTTATTTTGTAAAAAATATTTCAGTTCTGCATTTAAACTGTATATCTTACAACAAAATTATTTTCATTTCCCTTTGTATATAATTGTATTTGGCGGCTTTTTGTTCAAGGTTGTTGTTATTTTTTTTTTAAATTGTTTAACATCTCACAGCGGTATACTACTGCTGCCTTTATTTATTCACCCCTTATTTTATTGATTTTGTATTTACATTGTATCATAGATCAAATTTATTCGTTCAGTGTATGTTCAATTGTGTTAATATGTCTTTTGATTCAGTTGAGCCATTTCAATTGATATTTTATAGTGTGTCTTTCTATGTTGTGATGTTACACTATTGTTTCAGATAAGGGTGAAGGTTGGTACCTATGAAAACATTTAAACCCGCTGCATTTGTTTGCGCCTGTCCTAAGTCAGGAATCTGATGTTCAGTAGTTGTCGTTTGTTGATGTGGTTCATAAGTGTTTCTTGTTTCTCGTTTTTTATATAGATTAGACTGTTGGTTTTTCCGTTTGAATGGTTTTACACTAGTCATTTTTGGGGCCTTTTATAGCTTGCTGTTCGGTGTGAGCCAAGGCTCTGTGTTGAAGACCGTACTTTGACCTATAATGGTTTACTTTTACAAATTGTGACTTGGATGGAGAGTTGTCTCATTGGCACTTATACCACATCTTCTTATATCTAATTACAAGAAATACGACTTTGAAAGTAAAACAGTGCAGTTTTAGTAAGATACATTCAATTTTTTCATCACATTTATATGTGAAGAACCTTTAGCTAAAACAAAACACATGCAGTTGTATGAAACACCAAATCAGAACAAATGACTGTTAATGTTTTGTTGTTTATACATCGCTATGCAATGCTATGAAAAGAAATTTGTAATTATTCATTTGATTTTGATATTTATCAGTAAAAATTGGATATATCACAAGATTTTTTTATTAATTTTTCTAGTTTTTACCTATTATCTCAAAAACAATATTAGACGGGTAGAAACTTTAAACAGTAAAAAAAATCTGCAATGCAAGATATATTTTGACAGATGAGTGATTTAGTCTCTTAGAAGCCCCTTGATTTTAATTCTTGTTATAAATTTTATTCTTACTTATTGGCATACCTGTCAACCTATGAAAATGATAATGCAGGTCATGACCTGCATTGAAGAAGAAAATCTCAGGTCATAACGCGTACAAACTTTTTATGCCCCTGCCATAGCGGAGGGGGCATTAAGTTTAACCCTTGTCCGTCTGTACGTCCGTACGTCTGTATGTCCCAAAATTGGTTTCCGTTCTCTAACTTAAGTTTGCCTCAACCAAATGTTATCAAACTTTACACAATGCTTATTACCACAAAACACAGATCAAGTTTGAATTTTGGTAGCGTCACTTTAACGTTGTAGAGTTATGCCCCTTTATAAATAGTAAAATTGCAAAATTTTTCATTCTGTTCTCTAACTTAAGTTTGCCTCAATCAAATATTATGATACTTATACACAATGCTTATTACCACAATCCACAGATCAAGTTTGAATTTTGGTGGTGTCACTTTTACTGTTCTAGAGTTATGCCCCTTTACAAATGGAAAAATTGCTAAATTTTTCATTTTTTTTCTAAAAATATCAATGATGTCATTGTTCAAGTAATTTTTAAAATTGGAGTTATCTTCCTTTGTCCATGATTATAGTTGAATCAACTACAATCAATGCTTTATATAATGCAATGTTTAATTTTGCCTTCCACTGATAAAACACAGATCAAGTTGAATTTGGGTAGTGTTACTTTAACAATTATTGAGTTATGCCCCTTTATAAATCGAAAAATTGCAAAATTTTTAGTTTCCATTCTGTAACTTAAGTTTGCCCCAACCAAACATGAAACCTATACACAATACTTATTACCACAAAACTAAGATCAAGTACAAATTTGGGTAGTGTCACTTTTATTGTTCTTGAGTTATGTCCCTTTATAATGTTGTATGCAAGCGGGGGCATCATCTGTGTCCATGGGGACACATTCTCCATTTATTTTTATGTATTTCCACATGTACAAGATGTAGCATGGTGAAATCATTATGAATATAAGTGCACATGACAACAGATAATTACTTTTTAAAAGAGTCATTTATCCTAAGAAATGTAGGTCAAGGTGTGAATTGATGGCTGCTTAACTTCCAGCAGCAAATACTAGGGTATTACATGCTAATTCAGATGCTAACACCATTCTTTGCTCTTACTGCTCAATGCTGCAAGTTGGCAAAGAAGCAGCATCAACCAATTTTATATACATATGTACTTACAAAGTATTATTTAAGTTAGATTTGTTGTAGATTTAAAAATCTCCTTGTTTATGCTATCAGAACCATAGCAATCAATGTTCAGTTGGTCAAGACCAATTTTATTTTTTTTTCAGGCATTTTGAATCCACTTGATAGTCCCCACCACATGAGAGCAGACGACAATTGCCAGTTCGGAGAGAGTGTAGTGTTAGATAAACCTGTGAAGACTGGCAAGGGATCTTTTGCTAATGTTGGTCTTCTAAAGGTAAATCTATTACATATATTATATATTTAAACAGTATGTAAAGAATGGGTCAGAATGAAACTACATGTCATAAAAAATGCTTGGATACAAATTCTGAAACCTTCCTTATATTATCTATGAAACTGAGGATAATATGAATCCAGAAGTCTCAACTATCATTTTCAAGTTTTAAGTTTTCAGTGTTATCAATATTAAATTACATAATTGCCAAAATTGCCATATTTGTTGTTTGAAACTAGTAATATTCAAACAAACATGATATATTGTACTTTTTGTTTCAAAGCAGCAGCTGCATAATTAGAACAATACAGTATTTAAAAACTACAGAAAACTAAAACACTGCCTCAAATGAAAAACATATATCTAATTGATGTTTACCAGTACAAAACATGACTAGATCAATCAGATACACAATTCTGGTTTTATCTAGTGCAAATTTGAGCTGTCTCCCCTTGATTGTTTTTACATAAACTCCTCTCGAGTCGAACTTCAGTTGAGTTGAAATATTATAACTCTTGCGGTTTTAAGATAACTCCAGTCAACTGTATTTGAGAATTTCATATGTTTATTTCACTTTTTTGTAAATCTACATGTCATAAAAAATGCTTGGATACAATGCACAAATTCTGAAACTTTCCTTATATTATAAATGAAACTGATGATAATATGAATCCAAAAGTCTCAACTATCATTTTCAAGTTTTAAGTTTTCGGTGTTATCAATATTAAATTACATAATTGTCAAAATTGCCATATTTGTTGTATAGTTGCAACAACTACAGCAAGATTAGGTTTAAATAATTTGGTTCCAAGATAACACTAATGTTGAGCTTCACAAAAAAGCCTAGAATTGTATGAATCACACAACAGACAAGTAATGTTGATCATACAAACTGTGTTTATATGTTTACAGAAAGAAGTACAGATAGATAAACATTTACAACCAGGAATAAGAGTTACAGTCAAATTATCTGACCAAGATCCAGGTAAAATTTATTCCATATTCTAGTTGTTCAATTTCCTTATTAATTCCAAAATATCAACTGCTATCATGTACAACCATCTTTACGACCTACTTTGAGGTTTTATTATAATTTGCAAAGTTCATCACAATTAAGTCCATGAAACAGAACATCTTCTTTTAAATTGAGGATAAGAAATGTTAACTGTTACATAAAATGTAATTTCCAGACAGTTTGCACATAGCAACATACGTGTAATAATCATTTTATTTTAAAAAGTGATTCATGAGTTTTACATTTGCACCATACAGTTTTTCTATTACAATTTGCAGATTTGACATTTCAGGTCAACATTTCTTAACTTGTTAAAATGAATAATTATTCCCTTGAACTAATGCAGTCAATGATAACAAAGTATTGTTTTATTTATAGAGAAAAAGAAATGGAAAGGCATAATTGTATCACCATCTACACCACAGAAAGAAGCTGATTTGTACTGGGGATATAATGTCAGATTAGCCAGTAGTGTAGGTGCCGTGTTAACTGAGTGTCCATATAAATCTGGTTATGATCTGGCCATTGGTACTTCAGAAAAGGGATCACATATAGATACATTTACAACATTGGAAAATCTATTTAACTATATTTAAGATGTGTCTTTAAGTAGAAGTATAATTTCTAATTCTTCAGTACAAACTATGGTAATTTGGTATCAGCTATTTTCATCCTCACTGTGCTGTCTAATTATCGGCAATTTTTACATTTCCCTTTGATCTTACTGCCATATATTTTCAAGATCATGGACAGGACTTGATACTCGAAAATATTAGGCAATGCCAAAATGTATAAGTACAGCAACGTCACATGTTCGTGTCCATCCGCTTCAATTTATCAATGAAATGCACACGACTTCATTCATACAACCCAACAGCTATCCAAACATTTTGTATGCGAAAAAAGTAGTTTTACTTATTATTTCATTTTACTTCATATTCTCAAGCAAAAAAAAATACGGTTAAGAGAAATTGCTGATAAAAAGAATAATGGCATTTTTTTTTTTGCTACCGACTTCATCAACTTGTCCTAACGAGCTCGCTTGATATTCTTGCTGATGAAGTCATTATTAAAAACAAAAATGCCATTATTCTATATATAGAAAGTCATTCTATTCAATGACCTAGACAAAAAAGCAAAGATCCAATGTAGATGTGCTACTGGTTATAACATTGAATGCTAAAATATATGTTAACGAAATTTGTTATACTTTACGTTAAAATGCCAGATTTTGATTGGCTAATATGAGGGAGATTATTATACCCCGGCTTTATAAAAGTGGGGTTATACCCACGCTTTAAAAAAAGTGGGAGTATACTGTTTTGCCTCTGTCTGTCTGTCCATTCATCTGTCTGTCCATCCATCGTCAGTCCGTCAGTCTGTCCATCCTTCCCATGAAAATTTTTCGTCGCACATTTTTCAGGAACTACAATACAAGGATTTCTGAAATTTGGTTTCAGGGTTTATATAAGTCAGCTATACCGTGTGATGTGTTTTCAGATTCATCACTCAACAACTTCCTGTTTACTAAACACTTGTATCATTTTACACATGATAGCGAAGTTGAAAATTTTCGGCACATTTTTCTCAGGAACTACTATACAAGGATTTCTGAAATTTGGTTTCAGGTTTATACAAGTCGGCTATACAGTGTGATGTGTTTTCAGATTCATCACTCAACAACTTCCTGTTTACTGAAATATTTGGGCAGGGGTATCATCAGTGAGCAGTAGCTTGCAGTTTAACTTGTTTACTCTATTTCAATTTTTGAATATTATCCTCCCATTCAGACAAATCAAAATTGATAATATAAAGGACAATGAATAGAATTTACATCAATAATTTTAAAGAAAATGCTCAATTGCTATATTTTGGCCTCCGAGCTTTTTCATAGACTGTCAAAATAAAAGATACAAGGTCCCAGTTCGAGTCCAGGTTGAGACATGCGATTTTGCAAGTAGAATCATGCTCTCCGGTTACACATGTCTTCTGTTTAGATTATAGATATTTAACCACATCAATTTTATGTGTATTAAACTGGTCACATGACAACTAAACAATCTCTCCAAGGACTTTTGTAAAGAAGATGTCTTATTTCTAAGATGTTTGGTTATGTTAAGAGTTTGATCACCATATTGCCATTTAGATATATTGTATTTTAGCAAGAGTTTCTGTCGTTTATGTCTTTTGGTATGATAACTCTCATGTTTCCTTTCAAAATTTTGTCATTATATGCAGCTCATCATATCAAATTACATTTGTTTATTTTTGTTTTTTTTTTCATTTTTATCAATCTAAGATATGGAGCAGATTGTTCAGTTTTTATCAATCTAAGAGGAACATGGAGCAGATTGTTCAGTTTTTATCAATCTAAGAGGAACATGGAGCAGATTGTTCAGTTTTTATCAATCTAAGAGGAACATGGAGCAGATTGTTCAGTTATATAGGTTTTTTAAACTTACTTTTTGACAATTTGTAACATCTGTTTTCAGACATGCACTAGTAGTATTTGGTGGTGTTAAAGGTTTAGAGGCAAGTTTAGATGCAGATGAAGCCCTGAATGTAGATTATCCCAGCTTGTTGTTCCAACATTACCACAACACCTGCCCATGTCAAGGGAGTCGCACCATCAGAACTGAAGTGAGTTATAGAGAAAGAAAAATTGTAAACAGATATTTTTGTTTACAGAATGCAGTTTAAGTTTAAAATTTTTTTTTTAATTGAAAAATAGAAGGCTTTAAAGTTATCATTCAAACGTAAAAGATTTAAAATATTCAATTATTATTATGTTAAAGAGAGTATACTCATAGTAAAGTAGGTTCTTGCTTTAGGGTAGAGTTTTACAATAAAAGATTGTTTTTTTATGCTACCGCCGTAGCGGAGGGGGCATTAAGTTTTACCCTTGTCCGTCTGTACGTACGTATGTCCCAAAATTGGTTTCCGTTCTCTAACTTTAGTTTGCCTCAACCCAATATTATGAAACTTATACACAATGTTTATTACCACAAAACACAGATCAAATTTGAATTTTGGTGGCGTCACTTTTACCGTTCTAGAGTTATGCCCCTTTACAAATGGAAAAATTGCTGAATTTATCGTTTCCGTTCTCTAACTTTAGTTTGCCTCAACCAAATGTTATGAAACTTATACACAGTGCTTATTACCACAAAACACAGATCAAGTTTGAATTTTGGTGGCGTCACTTTAACCGTTCTAGAGTTATGCCACTTTATAAATTGAAAAATTGCAAAATTTTTATTTTCTTCTAAATATTAAGTAATTTTTAAATAGGAGTTATCTTCCTTTGTCCATGATTATAGTTGAATCAACTACAATCAATGCTTTATACAATGCAATGTTTAATTTTGACTTCCACTGATAAAACACAGATCAAGTTGAATTTGGGTAGTGTCACTTTAACCATTATTGAGTTATGCCCCTTTATAAATCGAAAGATTGCAAAATTTTTAGTTTCCATTCTGTTACTTAAGTTTGCCCCAACTTAACATTATGAAACCTATACACAATATTCATTACCACAAAACTAAGATCAAGTACAAATTTTTTGTTTCTGTTTTCTAACTTTAGTTTGCCTCAACCAAATGTTATGAGACTTATACACAATGCTTATTACTATATAATACAGATTGAGTACCAAATTTGATGGCAACACTTTTACCATTCTTGAGGTACCTCCCTTTATAAACACAAAAATTGCTGAATTTTTTGTTTCCGTTCTCTAACTTTAGTTTGTCTCGACCAAATGTTATAAAACTTATACACAACCATTCTAGAGTTATGCGTGTTTACAAATAGAAAAATTGCAGAATTTTTAGTTTCTGTTCTCTACTTAAGTTAGCCTCAACCAAATGTTATGAGACTTACACACAATGCTTATTACCACAAAACTCAGATCAAGTTCAAATTTGGGTAGCGTCACTTTTACCGTTCTTGAGTTATGTCCCTTTATAACTATATGATATGCAAGCGGGGGCATCATCTGTGTCCACATGTGGACACTATCCACATGTATGTTAAAATATACTTTTCACTTTTTGGTCTTTTGGAAAATGTTGTTTGTGCTGTATTTAGACCCCTCTACCAAGAAATTTGTTTTACATGCACACGTATAAAAAATGCGGTTTTTATCCAACGCAATCATAGGTTTGAACGTTGTTTTCAATTTAGACTTGTTTATATTTTTTCGTTTGGGCTTGTATTATATTTTCCTTCTGGTTTATATGATCTGTTCATCCTATTTCGACTCTTTAAAATTCAAGAGTCAATCCTAAATTGAGGTAAATTGTATGGTTTTCCAAATACCATTTCGATCCCTAACATCACTGAAGAGACATTAATTGTCGAAATCTGGATATGGTGTATAAATTTTTTGCACCTCATGTTTGCGATTTACCATCTTTTCACAATTTTATTGTTTTCTGTTTGGTATTAAAATTAATAATTAAGATCCATGTAACATCTGGTGATCAATTTATTTGGCAATCGCCAATGGCAGTCAGCAGGGTTTAAGAACATCAGTTGTTCGACCTGTTAGTCAAATGCGTTTTGTTAAAATATACTTTTCACTTTTTGGTCTTTTGGAAAATGTTGTTGTGCTGTATTTAGACCCCTCTACCAAGAAATTTGTTTTACATTCACACGTATAAAAAATGCGGTTTTTACAGAGGATGACCTTGAGGTCATTCCGATGTATTGCTATCGCCTAAATTTCCATTATGCAAATTAGTTTTGGGATTTCAACCGATCTATAAAAATTATAGATCCGCGGTCATTACAAGGGAAAAAAGTGCATTTTTATACCTGCGATTCCGTTCTCCGTTCGTACGATGTTTCATCAAAAAATGGAATCATTTCAGTTGTTGATTTAGAACTGAAAATTTGACTGAATTATCTCCTTATTAAATACGGTTTTATATGTTTAATAGGTGTTTAAGAAAGAGGTCAGGTGCTCATGTTCATTCATAAAATTATCGTTCATTCATGAATTTATCGTAAAATCAAAATCACTACACAGGTCACACAGGTTGTATACGTAGTGTCAAAAGATTACCTGTATAGTATCTAAAAATAGACAAACTTAACTGACTCCCCTTACTGTAGTGTGTGATAACATTTTGTGAGGGAATTCGATGTTTGCTATACCACTGTTCATTTCAACGCACTTTATGACGATACCACTTTATCAATATGAATGAAATTTTTTGCAGTGTTTTAAGAAATAATTTTACTTTAAAATCGTGTATCATTTGTGAACTATTAAATGTTTTACAAGGGCGAATTTTCTGTATAAAGTCAATAATTGTGAGAACTTTTGAAGCCCAAACTTTTTATAGCCTTAAATACGCTAATGAAAGATCCGAAAACTATACCCATACAGAACGACATGTTTTTGAAATTGTAGCAAAACTTTTGGTTGACAAATTTTAATTCGTTATTGCATAAATATTAACTTGAAATATCTGTCATTTTCTCCCTACCCAGTTTACCTCTATTACTCATTATGATGTGGACTTGACATTGTTATTGAATCTTATGCAATTTGATTGGATTAAGTTATTATTAGATTACCTTCAAACTGTTCATGCTTTTTCGTACGAGTATATTGATTAAATCAGAGCGTGCATGAATGTGTACAGAAAATTAAATGACCTGCAAACTGGACACTGGACCAGTCCATATTACGTTTTATCAATGAATAGATTTTTTTTTATTTCCCAAATTACAGGGCCCATAAAGGGCATAAAATCAGATACAATTGATTTACATAATTGGTAACAACAACAATAATAGCGGCATATAAATAGATATTTAGTATATAAGTATTGGTCAGAATCAGATGAACGAAACTTAAGGTATGAAAGGTAACAATTGCCACTTTTTATCTTTTCACATAATTTTCCACATACACATTAGATAAATTATTTTTGATAGCCTATTGCGGAGAAAAAAGAGAAAGTTTACTGTATTAATGTTCTATTCCATTAAATACGCCATTTTTCGAAGATAAATGCAGAAAAACATTTATGAACGGCTACGCCAGGTAAAATTGTTGTTTATCCTAAAAAAAAATACAATTTTCAGTTTCATTAGAATATTATAATAATAATAAATCCCAAATTTATGTAGTCATTAGATAAAGTCCTTATATGTCCGATCTGCCTATTTTTGGACATCAAAAGACAATACGATCGTTTTAAGGTCAATTTCGTCTACCTCACACAATCTTGTTAGGCACTATAATGAAATGGACCTGAAATTTATTTCACATGTTTCCTGAAAATTGATAAATATCAAAGCAACATAGAGCTGTTTGTTCTAGTTCGTATAATGACAATTTAATGTCATGTTTTTTTGTGATGACCCCCCTTTTCGGGATAGCATCAGAATTATAGTTATCTCGTATCGCATGAGGATGACACATGTCAACTGAGCAATTATGTTTGGGACTTAGTTTTAAGAAATGATGTCAAAGTAACATTATGAAAAAATTTAGTAAGCTGAAATATATATTTATTTTTTACATGTTTATGTCTTGTAAGATATTTTATTTCTGTCCCGTTTTTCAACATTTGCGTCTGGAAAGTTGAAATGTTTTAACTGAATGGTTAATTTAAATTAATTATGAAAATGGTTAAAATTAAATCAATAAAGGAAATTATTGCCCAGTTACAAACACTACCAGGGGATAATCCATAATGATTTTTTTTCAGTTATATGTTTCAGCACATGTATAATTAACCCCAACTTTAGCCTGGTAAACTTGTTGTCTCCTTGTAAAATATAAAACATATTTAAAATGATTTCCTGCTAAAGTCTTATATTGATATAAAGTTAAAACCGTCTTGCTTCTCACTAGTCAACACTCCTGTCCTGTCAGGTTTAATTCTTATATATATGGATGAAAAATAAAAGTCCACAAAACATTAACATGGCAGCAATTGCTTTTACAGCTTTTAAGACTTTGATTTTTTTTTACAGAAGAGTGTCCACCATGCACTTGCATTACACTATAATAATAGTAGAATAGTATGATATACAAATAGATGAAAATTATATATACATGCAACCGTAATATTAATATAATATATAACAACAAACCAGTGTATTCTCTGGAACTATTATTATATTAGTATAATAGTCTAAGGTATACTGATTTGTATCACTACTATATAATAGTTATTACGGTGAGGTTGAATTTCCTGTCATTTATTCATCATCCAAGCACGAACTTGTATAAGAAAAAAAAATCTCTGTAAATTAACCTCAGTTTCAGGTATAGAGATGTGATCTGTTTCTGTGACATGTGCTTTTGACCATCCACAAGAACCTGCGGTCATCCGATGTTCAGTACTTCAGTACTTTGATTATCCTATGCAATCATAGATTTGAATGTTGTTTTCAATTTAGACTTGTTTATCAAAAGATATATATACAGCTAGTCTTAAAATTCACATATCAGACACTCAAAACTATTTGATTAACACCTTAAAACTTAAAATGAAAAGAAAAATTTGTATCATCATAATCTGGCGCAGTAGCAGTACCCTTTAAGGAAGACATCATTAATCCTAATTTGTTATTCATTAAGCAATGAGTTCATGAAGGATTTTTCAAGTTATTGCCAAAAAATAAATTATAAAAATCTAAGCACTGTATAAAACATCAGTGATTTCCCACACTTTTTTCAAATATACAAAGAACTCATCGTAAAGCTTTTTTAACAGTCATATTTGGTGTTCAACAGTCTCACTGGTCATATGTATTTTATGGTTTGATTTGTAAATCAATATTTGTAACTTCAGTAACAAATTAAAAGGCAAAGACTATTTATTTCTTGAGAAATGATGTGAAAACATTGATGTTGTAGACTGTTTGTACACTGTAAACCAACTTGATTTTGTGGATACTTTCTTTCGAGCCATCTTCACGGTGATTTATGTTCCCTATTTTGTAATTTTCTTGAAGTCTTTATAAAAAAGAAGACCTAAGTTTTACATATTGGTTACAATTTATATTTGCGGTTTTTTTTCTACCTGAGAAAGAAGTAACAATTAATTGCTCACAAAAATAAATTATTTTCGTGGATAATTTATTTCATGTTTAGCCCTTTTCAACAGACTTTGCCGCAATTTATTTTTTCAAGTTTTTTTTATTTTCTTGATTAATTTATATTGGGGGAGACCCAAGTGTCACATTTTTTCTAACGATTTATATTCACTATTTTTTATCTTTTCATGAAAATAAATTGCTTGCGAAAATTAGTTGGTTTACTGTATTCTATTTATAAACAAATGATACATACTAAGCACTCAATGTTTATATTTTAGGTTGGTTGACTTAATGTCCTGGAATGATTCAATACCAAGTAAGGGAAAAACACAACAACTTAAGTATGTAAAGAATAAGTTTGGCAGAGCAAGTTTGGTCCTTGGAGGTTACCGTTACAGTGCTAAGACCAAACGAAACAACAGAATTTACTGGCGTTGTACAATTGCATCCTGTAAAGCAACAGTTAACACACATGAGGGTCATTTGGTCAAAGTTGGCACACCACATAACCATCCAGCCTACCAGACAGGGTGGTTCAAAATGTAACTATGCAATGTTTTGTTACTTAATTTTGAATATATACTGTAAATTCAGAAATTAATGTGTGCATTTATTATTGCAAATCCTTGACCTCTGGATAAGATATGATATCCAATTAATGTGATTGCCAAAATTTAATGATGGAACATCATTACTGAAATTATGAATGCTAGTTTTTATTATTGCGAACCAGAAATTGTTGCATTTTTTGCATTGATATAAACATTGCAATAATTTCTGAATTTACAGTAGTGTTTTTTATATCAACATATAGTGTTTCATTTTTGTCTCGCCTTGACGGAGTCAAAAAGCGAGACATAGGTATGCTGTTTCCGGCATCAGCAGCATCAACAATGTATTTTTTGTGATGAGGTCTAGTTCATGGTGAACCACTAGTGGTAGGTCAATGATATTTGGTATGCAGTTGTATTAGCATTGGCACATCTCATTACCATGGAGATTATTTGGCCCCGCCCCCTCAGTCAAGGTCTATTGGCTTTTAAACTTTGCTTAGTTTACATGTATTAGTTTGTGATTAGGACAGTTTATGGGGAACCACTAGTGGTAGGTCAATGATATTTGGTATGCAATTGTATTAACATTGGCACCACATCTCAGTACCATGGAGATTATTTAGCCCTGCTCCCTCAGTCAAGGTCTATTGACTTTGAAACTTTGCTTAGTTTACATGTATTAGTTTGTGATTAGGTCAGTTTATGGGGAACCACTAGTGGTAGGTCAATGATATTTGGTATGCAGTTGTATAAGTATTGGCATATCTCATTTCCATGGAGATTATTTGGCCCTGCCCCCTCATTCATGGTCTATTGACTTTGAAACTTTTGCTTAGTTTTCATGTATTAGTTTGTGATTAGGTCAGTTTAAGGGTAACTGTTAGTGGTAGGTCAATGATAATTGGTATGCAGTTGTATAAGCATAAGCACATCTCATTTCCATGGAGAATATTTGATCCTTACCCCTCAGTCATGGTCTATTGACTTTGAAACTTTTGCTTAGTTTACATGTGTTGGTTTGTGATTAGGTCAGTTCAAGATGAACCACTAATGCTAAGTGAATGATATTCGGTATGCAAATGTATTGGCATTTGCAAGTTTCATTTCCATGGAGATTATATAACCCCACCCCCTAATTATGGTTCATTGACTTTGAAACTTTTACATAGTTTACAAGTTAATGTTTGTGTTTAGGTTTGTTTAAAGGGAACGACTTATGAAAAGTCAATGGTATTTGGTTTGCAGTTGTATTAGCATTGGCACATCTCATTTCCATGGAGATTATTTAGCCCTGTACCTTCAGTCATGGTTCATTGACTTTGAATATTTGCATAACTTACATGTTAAAGTATTGCTATTTTACATTTCATAATAAACCAATTATCTTTGAAAACTGGATTAAGAGTGGTATAATATACTTAAATGACATTCTAGATGACACTATGTCATTATCAGAAAAATATATTTTAAACAATAAAGTGTAAGGTAAACTGGATTGCAGAATTTCATATATTGAAACAAGCTTTTCCACAAAATTGGATTCACATAATTAAACAAGAAAATTCTGTTCAAAGTACAGTAAATGTCAAGAGAAATAAGATCACATGGAAATATCGTTATTTTGAGACTACATGTTTTTCAAATAAAATATTATATGATTCGCTAGTGAATAGTAAAAAAGAACCGTCAGTAGGGATAAACAGGTGGCTTAAAATTCTACCAATGCAAGAAGCTCCAAATATGAATTCACTATATAACTTTATTTTTAAATATTTAACTGAAAATAAATTAAAAATATTCAGATGGAAATTACTACAGTTTATTGTACCAACAAAAAAGCTTTTATTACAATGGAAAATAACTAATAATAATATGTGTAATTTTTGTAACATAGAAGAAGACTATGATCACTGTTTTTTCAATTGTTCTTAAATGACAAGATTTTGGCAGCAAATTTACGACCTCTTAAAAAGGAGTGATATAGATTTTTTAATAAAACTAGAACACCTGATATTTGGATACAAAATCACAGACAACAAATATTACTCAATAAATTTTTTAATTACAATACTTAGTTTTTCAATATATAAGTCATACTATTATATCTGAGCAGAAAACAAAAAAACATAGACGTCTACAGAATTTTTGTCAATGAATATGCTAAGAGAGTAGACACCAATATTAATGGACATAAGACAATAAGTCCAATGTTACTAACAATTAAAAGGAACATAATCAATGAATAATATTTCTAGTATTGTTATTATAATGTTTTGTAAAGAAAATGTATGTCAATTAATCTAATCAGCTGACTATTCCCTAGGTAGTCAGTGGATCATAACAGGGTACGTCAAGAGAAGCTTGGAATCTTGATGATTTATGTAACAAGCAATATTTGATTAATAAAATTATTATGTTGTTTAAAAAAAAAAAATGTATTGCTATTTTAATTTCCACATTTGCATTTTCAAAATAACAAATAGGCGAGACATATATCTGTGTTAACAGTTTATTATATAATTTTTATATTTCCGTTTATTATTTAAATATGAAAATGTGGAGATGTGGTATAATTGCCTATGAGGCAACAATATATCACATAAGGACAAGGATGTACACAACTTTTTATCAAAAAATTATCCATTGTTTAAAAAATATTATTTGCAACCTGGCCATTTTTTGTTTTTGATGCATATATTTTATGTCATTGGGTAGTTGTCTCATTGAGGTAGATGCATTCTCCTTTTATTAATGATCAATGATGTACAACTTTTCACTCATTTATATAATTTCAAATGATTTGATGAGCGAAGTTCATAAGGTTTTGTTTCATTAGTTGTTTTTATTACATTGTTTTAGTTTTTTTACATTTCAATAGTTATTTTTTACATTGTAATAGTTTTACTTTGTATAGTTTTACATTGTAATAGTTTTACATGCAATACTGTGGATTCATTTATTTTCGTGGGTATTAATTTTCGTGGATAGAGAAAAAAAGACGTTTCGTGGTATACGTAAATTCGTGGATCGCTGATTACGAAAAAAAAAAAATCAGATACGTAATTCGTGGATTTCTTTTTGATTTAGGAGATCATATAACCTCCTTGTTTGATCAATAATAAAACAAACAAAAAAGAAGGAATTCATTGAAAAAGCTTTGAATTGTCAAAATCTTCGCTTGGTCATTCTAGGTTAAAGTGTTCATTGAAAACTTCTATCACAATAATGAACAGAGACAACTAATTATTTGTTTGTTTTACAATTTATAAATTCTTGTCGGAATTTCATAAGGCATTCAAAACTCTATGATTGAAAGCTCATTTCCCTAATCACGATATAATAAACAGTCATATAAGTAAAAGGTGTGAAAATAAATGTTCCTGTCATAAACAATATTACCTACGGGCAATATCCCCGTACTTAATCCTATTGATTTTTAATCACCAGTAAACCAAACTATGACACGGTAATTAACAACTTGCAGTTATTTTCCATGAAAAGTTTTAATCAATTTTAAAAAGTAAAGTATCACTGATATTCGATATATATTTGTTATTGATTTAATCAAAATACTTGTATCTTCTTTCATTAAAAACATGTGTTATGTTACAATGTTTATCGCTAGTCAGCACTATACTAGAACTGCATAACATAACCGGAAATAAACATCCGACTCCATACACATTTTTCGGGATTATTCTTCGTTGAATTCTTAAATTTGTGGTTCGCTGTGACCCACGAAACCCACGAAAATTGGTATACCACAAATAAAAATGAATCCACAGTAGTTTTACTTTGTAATAGTTTTACATTGTAATTATAAGTTTTACATTGTAATAGTTTTAGTTGCAATAGTTTTACTTTGTAATAGTTTGATATTGTAAAAAGTTTTATTTTTTGTTTACATTGTTACAATAATAGTTTTACATTGTAATAATTTTTTTTGAGTTAAATAGGTTTTTTTTACATTGTAATCCTTTTTTTTTTACATTATATTATTAAAAATAATTTTTTCATTACTTGTATCTTGCAGCAATGAACCACCAGAACTGTCCTGTGACAGTCAGCAAAGTGAAAATAAATCTATGTCAGAAGAATTTATAACAGCGGGTCAAGAGACTCAAGATGAAAGTGTTCCACTTCACTTGGAATGTGAGGAAGTGTTTTCAGTAGACAGTGATGACGAACAAGGTACAACAGGTTTGAGATCATGAGTTTGATGTATCATTAAGAATCTCAAATTTGATCTATTGAGGTCTATCCCTCTGGATCTTATGGTGTGTTTAGCCTTTAAAAAATGGCTGAAACCAATTTAAACTTCTTTTGGCAACAATAATCCTTGTGTTCAGTTGTAAAATTGTATCAACATGGCATATGTTTTTATGTTTTTGCTTTCGCCTAAGATGCATCGGTAGATTGGGACAAAACAGATTGGTGTTACAAATTGAAGTTTTTGCTGATCATAAAACACAGTTCAACACACATGTTTTTTTTAATGTAAGATGCCTGTACCAAGTCAGGACTTTAGCAGGCATATTTTCTACAATTACAATTTATGGCAAATGTTGGCATATTTTTATGACAATTTTGTATTTCTACAGAATTCTGTTTCAGATCAATTTGTAAGTTCAAATTCAAACTGTGATGACAACAGCATTGATACTCAAAAGAATAGTATATCCTCTAGATCACATGACAAAAAACTAATGGTAAATGTGGACAACTCAATATCTCGATCATGTGACCTTGACAACTCAGCATCGTCCAGATTATATGACAAGAAACCAGAAGGGAACGTTTCAAGACTGGATACTCACATGGACAACTTATTGTCTAGATCACATGACAGATCACATGATTTGGAAAACTCATCACCATCCAGATCACTTGACTTGGATAACTTGGAGTCATCTAGATCAAATGACAATACATCAGAGGTAAGTTACAATGTTTAGACTTGATGATCACATGAATAAGTCATCAGCTTGATCACATGACAGATCACATGAACTGGATGACTCATCATCGTCAAGATTAAATGACAAGAAATCAGTGGTAAGTGTGTTTAGACAGCATTCACATTAATGACTCATCAGCTCAATCACATGACAGTTCTCATGTTCTGGAAGACTTATCGTCTAGATCACATGACAGATCTCATGACCTGGATCACTCATCATCTAGATTACATGACCTGAATAACTCATCATCTATATCGCATGACAGGTCACATGACCTGGATAACTCATCATCACCTAGATAATATGATAAGAAACTTGCAGGGAATGTGCTTAGAATTGATACGCACATGACTTTTTCAGTATCTAGATCACAAAAACAAGGAATTAGGGGTAATCATGTTACACTTTGAAGGTCATTCATGCTTGACTTGTGTTTCTCAAATCATATAATTTTTATCATCGAGGACATACTAAATATCTTAAAATGGAAATATAGTGTGTTTTCTGAAAGTAAAATAATTTGATTCATAACATACCAAAAATGAAAACTATAATTTAAATCAGGATTTAAGATGATTTTTGGAGACTCTGCAGATATGCACAAATTATCATTAGGTCATACAAAAGATGTTTTGACATTAATTTCAAGTTAGCTATCATAAGCATCCTATGGAACAGCTATGTTACATATAAAGCTATTACACTCTGTATTTCCAGCATTGTGAGCTCAATATTTATATTTGTTATATTTTTCTTTTTGTAAGTTAATGGAATCGCCTGGAAAGGAAGAAGAAGTACAACAGACGCCAGAACTCTACTCTTCAGTCGATGAGGAACATATATTGCAGGTACAGTGGCAATGTCATCTGCATACCAGCCAACTTTTGAAAATCGCCATGGGGTTTTTTGTGTGCAACAACATTTTTAAGGGTTACAATTTTTGTGTCGTTTTTGTATGTCTAGCTGTGTTTTACTCTAGAAATGTGTAATTTTTCTTCTTTTTTCATATGGTATACTGATGATGAGCTAATAAGCCCTTTTCTTCTTTTTTCATATGGTATACTGATGATGATTCTTGTACTCATCCTAATGTGTAGAAAAGATAGTACATTAAGTTAGATTAATTACCAGCAAAATCTTTTCTTGTGTAGTTATAACTGACTTTTCCATATATAAATATGGACAAAGAACATTTATCTGAATTTCCTCGTGAAAAATAAAGGACAAGATTTTTAATAATTTGAAAATTTGATAACAATAATTATGACTATGTATGGACCAGTTACAATAAGTGTAATGTCCAAATAAGCTACTATTTATTATGTTTATGGTAGCACTGCTCTCTTCAGCTCAAATTTTATCAAAGAAAACACACTTCATTGACTTGTATTAAACTTGGTTCATATTTCAATAGTCTGATTTAATTAACTCAAAGATATGAAAACGTCTTATGAATAGTTCTTTTGTGTTACTGAATATGCTTGCTTGACCATCTTGAGTTGCTCATTATCTGGTTGTACAAAGAAGTTACCGACAGACTTGGTAGTGTTCTGAGCTGTGAAGAACTTCTGATGAAGTTGAACAGTCCTTGCCTGCTTTACAAGGCATGTGTTATCCCTATTGTAAAATTTGTCAACCAGCCTCTCAATTGATCAACGCTTTACTATGTAGGTGACTTAAGAACTTTCTTGCAAATTATAATTCAACAACCATTATCATAATTTTGACAATTTTGACAATTTTGACAAACAGACAAAGGAATACAACTCAAAACTTCCAAACGAGTTTCATTCTGTGGTTTTTTAAAATGCACCAATTAATCAGGAGATGAAAACGTAATCACAGAAAAAATCCAAATGTGATTTGCTATTTGTTGCTGATCTTAATTGTCTCCCTTGGGAAAAGTTAAAAACCGGGAATGAACAAATTTTTCCTGTAGGTTTTTACAAAATTTTGTTAAAGGACTTTTTTCACAATCACGATCGTGCAATCCTGACAAGGGGTCAAAGTTGTGTAGTTCATGCCAAAATCATGAAAGTTGGCAGGTATGCATCTGGTAAATAAACACAAGGTACTGTAACAAATAACAGTAGTATCATGTTATATACTATAATTACCCATTTATATTTTGGAGTCCTTTTATTACCTTTGTTACTTAATCCCAAGTATTGACTGGGGTAAATATGGTATTGAAATATGGTCATCCCTTAATTTCAAGACTAGAAAAATAGTGAAAATATAGATCTTAATCAAAATTAAAAAAATCTTCTGATAAACCATTATGAAGTCAATTAGAAATGAGAAATAATCTAACAGCCTGAATGAAACAATTATGACAGATGGCAACTTATGACAACAGGCTCCTGGATTGGGACAGGCACATACAGAATGTTGCTTGGGTAAACATGTTTGCAAGTGTGGAATCCTCCTCACAAATTCAGTTAAAAGATGTCATAAGCAGTCTGAGAAAAACATGATCTTATGCAATGCAATGCCAAAATATAAGAATCTGCAGGATGAAAGACATCAAGTTTTAATGACTTGATAGGAATACATTTTTGTTTAGGGGCCAGCTGAAGCCCGCCTCTGTGTGCGGTATTTTCTCGCTTTGTTGAAGACCGATTGGTGGCCTTGGGCTGTTTTCTGCTCTTTGGTCGGGTTGTTGTCTCTTTGACACATTCCCAATTTCCATTCTCAATTTTATAAGAGTTTTTAAAAGAGGCAATGATAAGAAAAGAAATTACCCAAACTTAATGAATTTTTATACAACATAAATTTGAAAAGCATTACATTATACATAAACACCTGTAAGTTTTGATATCAACAATTTTTTTCTTTTTTCAGCAATGAAACCAAGAAAAGTTTACATAAGGAGACCCCCTCGGCCATTTACATATGCCTCTTTGATACGACAGGTAAGTAGTCCAACTACTGTATCACTAGCCTGTCAAGACTGAGGTTGTGAGTTGGAACCCCTCACATGGCAGGTGCATTTGACTCTAATCTTAATTGACTAGGATTGTCAGTTTATTTGCAAAAGGTCACTGGTTCTCTCTGGGCACTCCTGCTTCCTCCACCAATAAAAACTTACCACCATGAAATAGCCAATAGTGCTGAAAGTGAGGTTAAGCACCAACAATCAATTAATAGATACCACAGGTAATATTACCGATGAACACTGAACACAAATAAAAATAAAATTACAATCATTGTTTACAATAATATTGATGGTTTTTCAGGATACTATTTACAAAAGGGGCAGTAAATATGAAAAGGGCAATTAAAAATGAACAAAAACAGACAATATTATTACTGAAAGAAAAATGATAAAAAGACAAACATCAATCCACTCAACACATCATTGAAAACTAAAGATTAAGCAATACAACCCTGGAAAAAAACAGAAGTGATTCCAGATGTTCTATAGACTTGTTCATGTCCCTTCCTAATTTATTTTTTTCAATTTTGCCCCTGTAACAATTTTACTGCTATAACTAAGAGATTTCCATTATACTGACATCTGCAGAGGAGTTCTCTGTCAGTTTTCAGTAAACATATAAATTAGTAAGAAAGAAATTAAAGAAAGGGAATTGTAGCAAGTCTAGGTGTTTTAGAAAGGTCATTTGTTTCTGCCCCACTAGTTACAGCAAACAAAATCTACAGATTACTGTTATAGCTGTTAGAAATTTTACAGCAGAAGGTTTACTTTGAAATAAAAGTGCAAATCACCTGTCACAAAAAATCTGATAACTGCAAAATAACATTTCTCAATTTTACATCAAGATACAGATAAGCAAGAAATCATCTCCTTCTGTTGTGTATTAAGAGATTTATTATAATTTGCAGAATCTTTTTTTTTAGATGAGAAGTTAGCATTAAACTCCTTTCTGTAAAAATTTTGATTTTGGATTTCTGTTTGAATAAAGTGAATATAAGGTGTGTGAAGTATATGTCAGTGAGACATCAACCCAGCGACAAAAATAACATAAAAACTTCAACATACTGTGTTCAACAATTCACAATTGTTCATATAAAATGTCATGCTCCAAATCTTCTGTAATCTATAAAAGTTGTATATAGATTAAGCAGAAACTATCAAGATCTGCCACCAATCAAAAAGTCTTGAAAAAAAACCCCTAAAAAATAGTGATAATATTTAACATCTTAAAAATCTGTTTCAGAATTGAATCTACTTTTTGACAGTTAATTTAAACTGAATTGCTAAACCGCAATTATCACTTTCAGCCTTCTAAGGGCTATTCCATTAAAATGTATGTGGGAGGGTAGGAAGGGACTTTCAAAATATCCCTACAACCAAGAACCATTTTTTAGATAATTTTGCATAATGGTTATAAACGCATACTGAAAAAAAACCATGACCCACATTCAATAATTAAACTTCCCTTCCTACCCTCCCACATACATTTTAATGGAATAGCCCTAAGTATGATTTTGCCGAAAGGGTAAATGATAATTTGGTGTCTTAATTTTCTGGATAAGTTACCCATTATTGAAGTCTGGTTCATCTGATAACACTATATTAATGAAGAGAAACTTATAACAAAATCTGTACAATGACTTTTTCACAATTTTGAGATTCTTTAGACACATTTAATTTCTTGGGATAGAATTTTGCCTCAATAAATGAATGCTGTGTTTGTGAGCTCCACTGTTTACTGTTGATGTAAATTAAAATATTCAATGTCACAGACTAGAAATTTATACACAGGCAAATTTCACTCACATCAATTTCACTTGAATTTAAATTCATGTGAATCTCACGTAAATTCACGTGAATTTCACCTCAAACGAGCTTATTCTTGAAACTCGCGTTAAATCAATTCAAGCGAGTTTCAACTTTCAAGTGAATCTCATGTGAAACACACGTGAAAATCACATGAATTTTTTTCACATGAAATTCACGTTAATTTTTAAAATAAAGTAATTCAAATAACATCTAAATTTTCAAATTTATTTAAAAAAATGAAAAATACCAATTTCTTTTTTGTAAAGTTCACGTGCACTTTCATGTAAATTTGTCTCAATGCTTATGTTATTACGTTACAGTAAGAACTGAATTCCTCTACACTTCCTACTAAATACATCTCAAATATCTAATTCTTCCAAAGAAGTTACTTCTTTAGTAAACATAGCCAACAAAACAGCTATAGAAGCCTTGAAAAACGGTGAAGTTTACATTTATTATTATTTTAAATGTGTTTACATTATCCATTTCACTTATTTAGATAAAATTATGTGAATAAGACACGTATATCAGAAACATATATCCATCCAAATACACATTGTAAGACTGTAACGAATCACACGTGGTTGCTGTTGAATATTTCAGTGTCAATTTTATTGTCTATCGATTTTAACATAACAAGGTCAAATCAGGCCAGTAAATTAAATGCCATATTCACAGGTAGCGTGTTTTATTTGTTACCTGTAATTATATGTAACCTGATGAATTGTACTTTTTATGTTAGTAGAAATAGAGTGATGTATATTGTCGATTTCTGTATGATTGTTATAAAAATGTGTTTTAACTGTACTGTTTGTAGGCATGTACAGTTATGTGAGGAGCTATTACAAAAATATGAAATCATACTTTGAAATGGCATCTAAATTTTTGATAAACTTAAGTAGTTTAAATGTGAATGGTACTAAAAATAAAGCTAAAAGAGACAGAGTAATTGAATGGATTAAATCTCAAAACTGTTCTGTTTGTTTTTTACAAGAAACTCATTTTGATGAAAACATAGAAACAGAAATAAGAAATAATTCAGAGTATGATATATTTTGCAGTCACGGAACGGCCTCTAGTAGGGGTGTGGCTATTCTCATTAAAAAGTCACTGAATTATAAGTTGATAAATAAACATAACGATGTAGATGGACGATTAGTTCTTCTTAATGTAGAAATTGATGAAAGCGTTTTTACACTAATGTGTATATATGCACCTAATTGCAAAAGTAATAGAAATATATTTTTCAAAAAAGTAAATAATATATTAAAAGAACAAGGGATAGGAATTACAATAATGGGTGGAGATTTCAATGATACGATGAAAGCGATAGACAGAAAAACTACTCGTTCAGAGGTAAAACATATCCAATCAGTAAATAGTTTAAAATCTTTAATAAAAATAAATAACTTAACAGACATTTGGAGATATTCAAATAAAAATAAACAACAATATATTTGGCGAAGAAAAGATAAATCACAGGCAAGTAGGATTGATATGATTCTGATAGGCTCAGACTTCATACCACAAGTAGAATGTTGCAAAATTAAACCTGCAGTTATTGGTTCTATGGATCATCAAAGTGTTTTTATGAAATTTAGAACTGGTGCATCAGAAAGGGGAAGGGAGTACTGGAAAATAAATAATTCTATATTAGAAGATAATGACTACATACAATTAGTTAATAAAGAAATGGATAGCTGCTTTATGAATAATCGTAATTTAAAAAACCTTGGTTTAGCATGGGATATATTTAAAATAAAGGTAAGGGAGGCAACTATAGCTTATTGTAAAACTAAAGCAAAATTTACAAGAGAAAACTTACGAACTCTTGAAAAAAAATTAGAAATAAAATTGAAAATTAGAGATGAGCAAGAATCTGAGAATAACATTTTAGATAAAGATATTGAAGAACTTGAAAATAAACATACCAAAATTTACGAACAAAAGGCTAAAAGGGCTCAAATTAGATCACGAGAGAAATGGGTTGAATTTGGGGGAAAAAATAACTCATACTTTTTAGGTTTAGAAAAACAGAGGCAGGTAAAAAAGTCAATCAATAAATTAAAAGGAGAAAATGATGAGATTTTAACGGATCAAAGTGATATACTATGTAGTATTAAAGAGTACTATAAAAAGTTATACTCGACGCAAAGCCCTGATAAAACATCAAGTGATAAATATATATTTGAGACAAAACTAGAGAAAGAAATGGATGAAAATGATATATCAGTCTGCGATGGGGATATTACAGTAGAAGAATGCTCAGATGCTATTTATAAAATGAAACTTAATAAATCTCCTGGATTAGACGGATTAACAGTTGAATTTTATAGAAAATTTTGGGATAAATTAAAGTACATAGTAGTAAACATTCTTAATATTGGATATAAAGATCAAACACTTACATATTCACAGCGTACAAGTGTATTAACGCTATTATTTAAAAAAGGTGATCCATTGTCACTAAATAATTACCGTCCTATTTCCCTTTTAAATATTGACATGAAGCTTCTATCGTACGCTCTAGCACAACGATTGAAAAAGATCCTACCAAAAATTATTAAAGAAGACCAGACTGGATATGTAAAGAATTGATTTCACTGATTTATACAAAATTAAAGGGGCTATAGTCTTTGTTGATTTTTCTAAAGTGTTTGACTCTTTAGAATGGAATTTTATGTTTTCAGTTTTAAAACATTTTGGATTTAATGATTCTTTTATAAGATGGGTTAAGACTTTATATAGCGATATTCAAACATGTGTTATGAATAATGGTTGGATATCTGATGTCTTTAAAAACACCAGGGGTATACGCCAAGGACGTCCTTCATTGGCATTATTATTTGTTTTATCGGTGGAAATCATGGAGTCAAGATTAAGAAGCAATACCGATTTTAAAGGTATCAAAATCAAATTGGATTGCAAAAATCATAGCATAAAAATTTCGCAACTAGCAGACGATACTACTTTATTTTGTTGTTCTAAATATGACGTTCAGTTAGCTATGAACGAAATTGAAATATTTGGTTCTTATTCAGGATTGAAATTAAACAGAAATAAAACAGAGGGGTTATGGGTAGGAAAGCTTAAATCATGTAAAGACAAAATTGAGGGAATCAACTGGAGCAATGGACCAGTCAAAACTCTTGGCATATACTTTGGGCATTGTAGAGAGGAATGTGAAAAACTAAATTGGGAAAATAAAATCGAAAAGATGAATAAATTATTTTGTTGTAGGCAGAAAAGAAATCTTTCTATTTTTGGAAAAATTTTGATTATTAAAACACTAATTGTGCCTATTTTCACTTTTGTGGGAACTGCCTGTATAGTTCCAGAGAAATATTTGAAAGAAATAGAAAAAAGTTGTTTTAAATTTGTTTGGGATAATAAACCAGATAAAGTAAAAAGAAATTCAATCAATGGTCCATATGAAAAGGGGGGATTAGATATGATAGATATAAGAAGTTATTTTACTGCTTTAAAAGCTATGTGGGTTAAAAGACTAGTAACTGATTGTGAAGGAGGTTGGAAAATTATACCTCAGCCATATTTTTTAATTTTGGGTCAAACTGGTTAGTGTTTCAAACAAACAGTGGGGATAAGCCAGACGAAAGCCTTGAAAATATCCCAGATTTTTATAAAAATATCCTTAAATGTTGGAAATTAACTGGAGGAGGTCTAATGAAAAAACCTGAAACATTTACAGATATAAGAAAACAAATATTATGGAACAATAAATTTATTAAATTTGAAAATAAAGCTATAGTTTTAAAAAATTGGATTAAAAGCGATCTTATTTATGTAAATGATATCATAGATGAAAATGGCTGCATTTCTCAAGACATCATTTTTAATAAACTAAAAAATAAATCAAACTGGCTAGCTGAAATTAATTTGGTAAAGAAATCAATACCAAAAGACTGGGTAGCAATTTTAAAGTCGGAAAATTCTGTAAAAAGTACTGTAAATATAAAAAGAAACCAATTTATATGGAAAGGTTTACCTATAAAATTAGAATCATTATCAAACAAACTTTTATATAAATCTCTGATAAATAAAAAATTTGAACCAGCTATTGGACCCCAAAAATGGCTGTGTATACTTGATATAGATGATGTGTTATATCGAAACAATTTATATAAATTTTTATTCAGATATTTAAAAGAAAATAAACTTAAAATTTTTAGATGGAAATTACTACAACATATTCTACCTACAAAGAAAATTATTCAGGTGGAAAATTGTAAACAATAGTTTTTGTAACTTTTGTACACAAGAAGAAGATTATGATCACTTCTTTATACTATGTCCGTATTTAGAACATTTTTGGAATAAAATAAATGAAGTTTTAAAGAAGAGTAAAATAACTTTTAAGATAAAATTAAGACATTTGGTATTTGGATATAAAACTTCAGACGAAGAATATTTTGACTTTAACTATTTTTTAACAATTGTTGGTTTTTCAATTTACAAAGCCTATTACATATCTGATCAAAAGACAAAAAATGTCAATGTTTTCTCAATTTTTCTTAATGAGTTCAATAGAAGAGTATGTTTGACAATGACAATTAAAAGTAATGTTTTAGCAACCATTAGAAAACATATGAATAATCATTATGAGTGATATTATTTAATATATATTTGATGTAATATAAATTTTACAACTAATTACTGCCCTGAGTGATTAGTGAAATGTAACAGGGAACATCAGGAGGAGCTTGGACTCCTGAAGGATATTGTAACAAGCCAATAATTGAAATAAATATTTAATTATGTTGTTAAAAAAAATGAACTGAATGTGCAATGATGTTGTTTAAGCCGATTGACCTGGGGTCAACTGGTGTTGCTCATTCATAAAAAACAACTTGAGATTGGAATATTTGACAAATATTATCCAAAATCAATTACGTGTGTCTAAAGCATAAAAAATATTGAAATTTATTAAAGGGAGGTAACAAACAATTTTTCTGTTTCAGGCTATTGTAGAATCTCCTAACCGTAACTTAACATTAAGTGAAATCTATCGATGGTTACACAATGCATATTCATATAAACAGATTGATGATATAACCACAATGAAGGTTAGTATGTCATAAGGCTCTCTTTCTATCTGTCTTATTATCAATACCAGTTCTCTGTTAGATTGGAAATCAAGATTCTATCAATTTAATTATATTTAGTATAGATATTGATTCTCATTTAAATTTTGAAATCAGGATCCTATCAGTTTAATAATTAGCAGTTGTTTTAGTTCAATAATTGGCCGTTGTTTTAGACTATTAAATATGGATATTGAGATTCTATAAATCTAAATATAAATAGTCATTCTCTATTAAATTTAAAATTCAAATGATGATATTTTTTAGATTTGAAAATAGAGATTTTTTTTAGTTCAAATTGTTTTATATAAAGATAAGAAGATGTGGTATTATTGCCAATGAGACAATTTTCTCCTGAGACCAAATGACATAAAGGTTAGCAACATATGAATAAATCAACAAACATTCAGTAAGGTTTTTCATAACTGATTTATTAAAAGAATAAAATAAATATGTTTATAGGTTAACGTGATTGATCAACACTTAAAGAATATTAGGAAATTTACATTCATACACACTCACACATCACTTTTTGTGTCTCATCTTTTTAAAGAGGTTTAATAAGAATGTTGTGATCACTCTCAGTTTATTTTTCTTACTTTTGACATCAAAACTGAATGCCATGTTAGAATACAAAAAGTAAAATCACAAAAATACTGGACTCCGAGGAAAATTCAAAAATGAAAGTCCCCAATCAAATGGCAAAATCAAAAGTTCAAACACATCAAACGAATGGATAACAACTGTCATATTCCTGACTTGGTACAGGCATTTTCTTATGTAGAAAATGGTGGATTAAACCTGGTTTTAAAGCTAGCTAAACCTCTCACTTGTATGACAGTTGCATAAAATTCCATTATATTGACAACGATGTGTGAACAAAACAAACAGACACAATAGGTAAAAATGGCACAAACAGGGGTACAACAGCAACACGAACCCCACCAAAAACTGGAGATGATCTCAGGTGCTCCGGAAGGGTAAGCAGATCATGCTCCACATGTGGCACCCGAAGTATCTGATACAAGTGTCTAATGGCAACTAATGTATTTATTATTTAACTCTTAATGAAAAAGTGAGGTTGTGAGTTTCGAACACTGCACCTGGCAGGTGCATTTGACTCCAACCTTAATTGACTAGGGTTTTCAGTGTTTCTGACGAAGGTCTGTAGTTCTCTCTTGGCACTCCAGCTTCCTCCACCAATAAAAATTGACCACAACAAAATAGCCAATAGTGCTGAAAGTGGTGTTTAAACACTAATCAATTAATTAAAAGCTGGTTTTCCTAAAAGATATTACATTTTTTGTTATTTTTGCTTGTAGAACAATGCCAGACAAGTTCTGAGTTTTAATAAATGTTTTGTCCGAGTAACAAATGAAAAGAATGAAGGAGTATGGACAGTTAATGAGAAGGAATTCGACAAACTTATTGCACCACATAGAAGATTAGATGGGTAACATAATATGAAGTCCTTCAAACGGTTTGGGTCCATAAAATTAGTATATATTGTATGTCAGCTGATCAGCACATCATGTGTTCTTTTGTCTGTTACAATTTACTGCGATGTTATAGGCATTTAGAACTAAACATGGAAACATATAAACAGACTTTATGATACAAATTTGTTGAAAGCATGATTTCTTAAGTAAAAATCTGTTTGATTAAATATGTTTAGTTCCTGTAATTGAAAATCATTTAAGTATGTCACTTATTCAGTTTTCTATGCTTTTTACAAACAATATTTGTAGTGTGTTCAATTATGGGAACAGCAAATATTTGTCTTGGTCCAGAGAGCTTTGATCTGATCACTATCACTCATGGTAAAATATTTGAAATAAAAGGCCAACCCATGGTAAAATCAATATAAATTCAAGCCCCTATAAGTTATTTCTTAATTAACCGTATCTGGGTATAATTCAAATCTTATTTACAAAATATGTTATCGTACTCAATATGCATGTAATATTTGCTACTGGCTATTAAGCAGCCACTTAACTATCTATATTTGTATGCTAGTTGCAGTGATCTTTTCTACCTTTTTATTTTCATTGTTGCTGTTTAACCAAAAGAAGCAGTGAATCTGTAAAGAATTCCAATTCAGTGATTAAGGTAAGTAAACATACACATATAAAAACAAGAAGATTGCCAATGAGAGGGATCTCTACCAGACACATACATGTTTTGCTCAAAGTTCAGGGTGTTCGTTGAATTTACTTTTTTTTTGCAAAAATTCAGTATTAGCAAACTGAATCATAAGCGATAGAAGAATAATTAATGTAAAAAAAAATTTTCCTAATCATTTAGCCTCAATCACGATGTAATATCACTATGAATAAAGGAAATTTGTGGTATACACCCACAAAACAAAAACTAAACAACAAAAATAACCAAAAAAACATCTAGAGAGTAACATATATACACATGATACAATCTATAACAATAGATAGATCTATATACAATATGTTTTTGTTACCAGTTACTTTAAAAATGTTGGCTAGAGTAGTGCAAAAGCTTGGTTTTACTCCTGGCACTTTCGATAATGCAAGAGGGGGGCAATCTTTTTTTTTTCAAAACCAATATATAGAAGATAAAGAGAAACTGTAAACAGCCAAAAAGGATCAGATAGACAAGACAAACAACAAAGCAGAAATTGTCAATGCACTTCTTATGGAAGTTATTGTCCTTGAATGACAATTTTAACCATTTGTTTGTATTCTGGGCAAAAACTAGATATAGAGAAACTGGAACCAGTAAAAATGGTCAGCAATACAAGATCAACGAAATGAGATTTTTTAATTATATCCAAGTCTCCAATGTTGGAAATGTGCATAGATCCAGGTAAGCGACACAGGCTCTTTAGAGCATCTAGTTTATTACAGCCTTTACTGAATATCACAGACATTGGTGTAAATTTTGACATCACAAGAGAAAAAGTATGACACCACAGTGTAAAAGGGATTGTTATATGAAGTCAAAAAGTCAAATATCACAAAATCTCAAATCAAGTGTCAAAAAATCCTAATAGTAATAAGATATATAGATTAATCTTAAGTTGTTTTTTATGAATGGGTTTCTCTAGTTGACCCAAGGTCAATCAGTGTAAATGATGTCATTGAACAATCATTTCTTACTGTGATGTTGTAGCATAAGCATTGGTTTATCAAGAACACCAAACAGCAACCAGAGCAGAATGACCATCTTTATCAAGTATCACAAGAAGCTGCTGTAAATTTTGAAGTTGATGACTGTAATGGAGAATTATCAAGAAAAGCTGGCCAACCAGAGGACAATGAACATCATTACCAAGTATCACAGGATACTGCTCTTAACATTAATGTTGATGGCTGCAAGGAAGTATTACCTAGAAAAGCTGGTGAACCAGAGCCTGTACAAAAACTACAGAATCTTGTGAACAAGTAAGTTATCCATAAGTCATGGCATTGTTATTGTACCCCATGTTCCAAAGGAGAGGCTATTCTGCTTTACTCCAGTCCATCTGTCTATGTGTATTCAGTCCATCTGTCTATGTGTATTCAGTCCATCTGTCTATGTGTATTCACTCCATCTGTCTGTGTGTAACCTTTTGTCTGTCCTATGAAATTTTTATTTTATTTGTCATGAAAATACAAATGAGACATTCTTGAAATTAGGTATCTAAGTTTGTGTTTTCATGCTATACCATGAATGCTTCTTAGGTCTTCGGAGGCAACAATAGGCAGGCTTTTTATGCCCTCGCAACTAAAAGTGGGGGGGCATATTGTTTTACTCTTGTCCGTCCGTCCGTCCCATCAGTGGTATATAGTTATTCAAGATATTTGCTCTTTTGGAAAATAGTTGAACTTTGTCATTTTTTAGAGTATGTACTTGCATAAGAGGTACATAGCGTTTCCGGATAACTCCTCCTACAGTTTGAATGCTAGGAAGTTTTCACTTTGCTGGCTGTTTGTACATATATTGAAGGTGTGCATGTGGTCAGGGTTTTGATTTTTATTAATATTTGCTCTTTTGGGAGATAATTGAACTTTGTCATTTTTGGAGTGTATACTTGCATAAGAGATGCATAGTGTTTCTGGATAACTCCTCCTACAGTGAACCATAGACCTATGTGCTTCCATTGCTCAACTTTGTGTATTTTTTTTTAATTATTTTCTTTTCATGATTTACATGGACATGATATAACAATAAATGTGGCAAAGTGACAAAATTATACTAAACCTTGACTTTATACATACACATACAGAGAAATAGAATAAAGCACAATTATTGCTACCCAAAAAGTAACCTTTTACTATCAATTAGCTAAAATATTTTATCAGTTGATCAATTTGAAAAGATGAATCCAAACTTCCAAACTTTGTTAGTCTAGTATGTTTTTTAATTTTAGTTCATTTATATGTTTTGGAGTTTAGTGTGACGTCCATTTTCACTGAACTAGCATACAATTTTAGTTAGGGGCCAGCTGAGGACCACCTCCGGGTGCGGGATTTTCTCGCTGCATTGAAGACCCATTGGTGGCCTTCAGCTGTTGTCTGCTCTTTGGTCGGGTTGTTGTCTCTTTGACATATTCCCCATTTCCATTCTCAATTTTATTCAATAAGGAAAAACATTTTAGAAAATTAGTATTGTGAAAGGACACAGCCTTTTGAATATGCACATTGTATAGATATAGTCTGGGGTTTAAGTTTTATTACCCAATTCAGGCTTGTATAGTCCACGGTTTTATTCTCCAAAATTGAATCTGCCACAAGGGGTGCAGATTATAGAGTATGATAAGCAAGAAATAAGAGAAAAATTTGATTTCCACCAGGTTTGTTATTGAAATTGTAGAGGGTGATCTTATGATTTTCAAAACTAATAATTTACCTAATGTAACAGTGCGAACTATACAGGGCCAATTGCGGTAGAAATCAATAACTTTGTCAAACCTTCATGAATTTTATGAAATTGGAACAGAAGCTTCTGTATTAATAAGAGATAGCATCTGATACAAGATTTTGAAAACATATTTTTTATTTTTCTGTATTTTACTGATAGATGGGAATAGTATTTTTTAATTACCATTTGGATACATTCTGGAGTTAAAGTTTTTTTAGACATCAAATAACTTGGACAGAACTGAAGTTTAAACATTTTTTTTTACTTTTCTGTGTTTTACTGATAAAAATTTTTGCAGTTAATATTCAGATGCTTTTTTTTTTTTTAAGTTTTTAAAACTTTAATAACCTTTTTCAAACCTTCATAGAATTTCTTGAAATTTTTACAGAAGCATCTCAAAATCAAAAGTTACTATCAAGAGTAAAATTTACATTTTGTTCATCGTTTCGCTGTACTTAACTAAATAATGGACTTATTGTTCACCTTAAATATTTAGTTACAGTCTGTGGTAAAAGATTTTAAAACTTAAATATCTTTGTCAATTCTTCATGGAATGTTACAAAAGTTGGACAGAGGCTTCTTTATAATCAAGACATAGCATTCTACGCAAAGTTTTCTTCTTTTCTGTTCTCAGTATTTTACTAATAAAAGGACTTATTTTTTGTCAGTCAACATTCAATTTATACTGCCAACAGCAGTCCAGACGAGACAAAGTGTTCAGGAGAACCTTTTTAATTTTTTTTTTTATATTTACAGGCCCAAAACACTCCTTCTTTCATAGTTTTTATACGCCCGTCAAAATTTTCACATGTCGCGCCGTATCTCAAAAACGATTTATGATTATTGCTTAAAATTTTACACACTTCTTAGTTATATTAATCTAAAGATCTGTATACTTTTTGGTTTTGATTCAAAATTTTATTTTAGAGATATTGTTTTTTTTGTAAAAAAAAAGGGGGGGTTTTCGCAAAAATAATTCTTGCATTTCTAGGTGAACATATGGAAACAAATTATTATGCTTTATACTGAAAGATATTTCTCTCTTTTTAGGAAGCCATTTTGATCACATTATCATCACTACGACCACAACTTCACAGGAACAGATCTGCAGATTCATGACAAAAATAAATTGTTTGTTTTATCATTCTTCATTTTATTTGATCTTCCTTTTAGATATGATTCCATTGTTGTGCTGGATGATATTCTACTTTTGTTAACTCACTTGACACCTTATCTTATGGGCCATGTTAGCTGTTGTAATCATTCAGTGTCAGTTGTTAAAAAATGTTTACTGGTATGATACGGTGCTTTTTGTCCGATTTTGCTTTTTATCCGATAATTTTGCTTTTTGTCCAACACTTTTGCTTTTTGTCTGTTGCTTTTTGTCCGATAATTTTGCTTTTTGTCTGACACTTTTGCTTTTTGTCCGTTTTGCTTTTTGTCCGATAATTTTGCTTTTTGTCCGACACTTTTACTTTTTGTCCGTTGCTTTTTTAGCTCACCTGGCCCAGAGGGCTAAGTGAGCTTTTCTCATCACTTGGCATCCGTCGTCGTCGTTGATTTTTACAAAAATCTTCTCCTCTGAAACTACTGGCAAAATTTAAGCAAATATGGCCAAAATCATCCTTAGTGTAAACATATTTTATTAATTAAATTCAAGATAAATAATGTACACAATTTGGCATTTACATATTAATACAATTGAATAATTAATAGGATCCGGAAACAAGCTGTTAACTTGTTTTAATCTGTTTCCTGATTCAAATAAGAACATTTCATATTGTAATACTCAAGGAGTAGAATGTATAAAATTAAACAATGTTACACTAGATGGAAAACAAACAAGACATATAATAAGGTTGTGAACACAAGAAGAGAGAAAAAAAAATCAGATACATCGGAAGTACAATGATAAAGTGCATGTTTCTGAATGGACACAATTATTTAAGATATAAATATGCACTGTAGACTTGTTGAACAAGATGTTTGAAATTATATGACAAATCTTTTGCTACTGAGTATGAATGTTTGAACTGCCAAGAATATTTCAATGTTTTGTTCGTAGCTGAGTTCCGTTGAACCGTATAGCAAAATTTCTTCTGACAAGAAGTGTATGATTCTGATGTTTTAAAAATGCTGTTCATGCATGATGTGAAATCGGGGACAGTGCAACAAGTAATGCGCTGTTGTTTCTATAGCACCACATAAACAAAGTGGTGAGGCCACTATATTTTTAACAAAAAGATGTTGATTTAGAGAACTTCATTGCATTTAAAGTCTTGAGTGATAAATTTGACCTAATCGCTTACCATGTAATAATAATCATCCTTAGGGTATCTTGTTTCAAAAAAATATCCGATGACACCCCCCTCCCCAATAATCAAGATGGCCACCATGGCTAAAAATAGAACATTGGGGTAAAATGTAGATTTTGGCTTATATCTCTAAAACTAAAGCATTTAGAGCCAATCTGACAGGGGTAAAAATGTTCATCAGTTCAAGTTCTATCTGCCCGAAATTTTTCAGAAACATCAGACAACGCGTTTTTGGGTTGCTGCCCCTGAATTGGTAATTTTAAGGAAAATTTGCAGTTTTTGGTTTTTAATTGATTGGAGTTTTATTTTAAAGTCGTTATAACGACTAAGCTTACTTGTTATAACGACTTAGCTTACTTGTAATAACGAGTTAGCTAACAACTTAGCTTACTTGTAATAACAAGTTAGCTAACAACTTAGCTAACTTGTTCTAACGACTTAACTTACTCGTTTAAACAACTTAACTAACTTGTTTACTTAAAAACTACTTATTGTAAACACACAGAGTTATGTTTGATTATAATATTTTTATGCCCCCGCCATAGCGGAGGGGGCATTAAGTTTTATCATTGTCCGTCTGTCCGTCCGTCTGTCCGTCAGTCTGTCCGTCCGTCCGTACGTCCCAAAGTTGGTTTCCGTTCTCTAACTTTAGTTTGCCTCAACCAAATGTTATGAAACTTATACACAATGCTTATTACCACTAAATACAGATCAAGTTTGAATTTTGGTGGCGTCACTTTTACCGTTCTAGAGTTGTGCTCCTTTACAAATGGAAAAATTGCTAAATTTTTCATTTTTGTTCTCTAACTTAAGTTTGCCTCAACCAAATGTTATGAAACTTATACACAATGCTTATTACCACAATATACAGATCAAGTTTGAATTTTGGTGCTGTCACTTTTACTGTTCTAGAGTTATTCCCTTTACAAATGGAAAAATTGTTAAATTTTTCTCTTTTTTTTTCTGAATATCAAGTCATTTTTAGCTCACCTGGCCTGAAGGGCCAAGTGAGCTTTTCTCATCACTTGGCGTCCGTTGTCCGTCGTCGTCATCGTCCGTCGTGGTAAGCTTTTTACAAAAATCTTCTCCTCTGAAACCATTGGACCAAATTTAACCAAACTTGGCCACAATCATCATTATGGTATCTAGTTTAAAAAAAGTGTCCGATGACCCTGCCAACCAACCAAGATGGCCGCCATGGCTAAAAATAGAACATAGGGGTAAAATGTAGATTTTGGCTTATATCTCTGAAACCAAAACATTTAGAGTAAATCTGACTCGGGTAAAACTGATTATCAGGTCAAGATCTTTCTGCCCTGAAATTGTCAGACAAATCTGACAACCTGTTGTTGGGTTGCTGCCCCTGAGTTAGTAATTTTACAAAAATTTTGCAGTTTTTTGTTATTATCTTAGATATAATTATAATATCTAATATCTAATACTATTAATTATGATTTTAACCCTATTTTACATGATTTCCAAAGCATCAGTAAATACAGGTGAGCGACACAGGCTCTTGAGAGTCTCTAGTTAAAATTGAAGTTATCTCCCTTTCTCCATTATTATAGTTGAATCAACTACAATCAATGCTTTATACAATGGAATGTTTAATTTTGCCTTCCACTGATAAATTAAAGCAATTTTTACCTTTCATTTCTAAAAATATTTTAAAGTCTTCTTTGAAAATTGGAGTTATCTTTCTTTGTGCATAATGGGAGTTGAATCAACTACACCAATGCTTTATACAATGCAATATTCAATTTTACTTCCTACTGATAAATTAAAGCAATCTTTACCATTCAGTGCTTACAAGCACTTTGATTACCGTTCTAGGGTTATGCCCCTTTACAAATGAAAAATTTGCTGAATTTTTCATTTCCGTTCTCTAACTTGAGTTTGTCTTAACTAAATGTAATTTCTAAAAATATCAATGTCATTATTCAAGTAATTTTTATACAACCGACCGCAAAAAAATTTTGTGGTCGTATATTGGTATGACGTTGGCGTCGTCGTCGTCCGAAGACACATTGGTTTTCGCACTCTAACTTTAGTTTAAGTGAATGGATCTCTATGAAATTTTACCATAAGGTTCAATACCACAAAAGGAAGGTGGGGATTGATTTTGGGGGTTATGGTACCAACAGTTAAGGAATTAGGGGCCAAAAAGGGGCCAAAAATAAGCATTTTTGTAACTTCCAGACATAACTTGTGTGTTAGTGTATGGATCTCTCTGACATTGTACCACAAGGTTCCATATTACAAAGGGAATGCTGGGATTGATTTTGGGGGTAATTGCCTCCAAATTTTTTGGAATTAGGGGCCAAAAAGGGGCAAAAAACAAGCATTTTTCTAGTTTCATGACAATAACTTGTGTGTAAGTGTATGGATCTCTCTGACATTGTACCACAAGGTTCCATATCACAAAGGGAATGCTGGGATTGATTTTGGGGGTAATTACCTCCAAATTTTAGGAATTAGGGGCCAAAAAAGGGGAAAAAAACAAGCATTTTTCTAGTTTCTAGACAATAACTTGTGTTCAAGTGTATGGATCTCCCTGAAATTTTACTGCAAGGTACCATACCACAAAGGGAAGGCTGGGACTGAGTTTGGGGGTGATGAATCATAAGGGGGTTCAAAAAAATTTTTTGGGGGGGGATTTTTTTTTCGTTTTTTTCTTTAAAATTTTCCATTTTAAATTGGTTATTTCTGATTTATATATAAAAGCAAATAATAATGATATTGTTTGAATAGGTAAATTTAAAATTTTTAAGTTCTTAGACCACATTCATTCTGTGTCAGAAACCTATGCTGTGTCAAATATTTAATTACAATCCAAATTCAGTGCTGTATCAAGCATGAATGTTAACCAGTATATTAGTCCCAGCTTGTATCACATATTGATTTGTAAAATTCAACCGTCTGGGTAACGGAGACTAGTTCCAGATTTGATTTTATTTCTCTTTTCGGGAGTAATAACCCGGGATACAGTCATATTTCTTTGGTTGGTACATGCATACTCTATTGATAAGAAATATACCGAAAACTTAATCACATTTACGGATTAGTATTAAAAGTATCGCATTTCAGTGAGGAGGGAAAAAAAACAATGACTTCTACTTTTGCCGCCCTACAGACTTGACCAATTTTAAAATAAACACTGTTGGTGTATTTATTTCAAATGTTTCTATTAAAAAAGTGTTTTATATTTAGAAATGCACTATCTGTATCTAAAATATTGTGCACATCTATTTCGTTATAAGAATTAAGTAAATGCTAAGTAGCCTTTTAATTACTTTCCCCCCTCCTTTCGAGTTTGTCAAACAACAATTAACTACTTGGCTGACAATGCTGTTGTGTTAACCAAAGTGTCCTTATTACTTGAATAGCCTCGAACGTCTTAACGGTACGCCATTTGGAAATAGTTGCTAGACAATTCCGAAATTTAAAGATTAATACAGTTTATCTCAATAAATAGCTACACATGTCTTCCTTAAACTTTGCGATAGTGTTCCAAAAGTTAAAGCATTGTTTGTTATATTTGAAATATGACGAAATTATTACCAGACTTAAATGACATTTTTAAACTAAAATGTTGCAAAATATTTTGGAGCGACGGATAGACGGCCGTTCGTATATCAGTGCAAATGGTGACTATATATCACTAGCGGAAAGAAGAAACTGTGCGTATAAGCTATAAAATGTCGAAAATGTATGCACTTCCACGTGCAGCAAACCCCGACACCATTTACCATAGTGGTAAAACAATTCAAACGAGAAAAACCAACGGATTGATTGATTTACAAAACTGTATACGACCATAGATATAATA